CAGGGCTAAGAACACAAACCAAACCAGCAAATGAGCAAAAGAACTGCAAGCAACACACTAAATAGTAATGCCCTCAGCCACCCAATCGAAAGACAGGTCAGCTGGGATTACAAGACAAAATCCATCTTTCTACTGTCTACAAGAAACTCAGTTTTGAAGACAGGAACCATCTTAAAGTGAAAGCATGGGAAAAGGCATCCCAAGCAAACGGAACCGGGAAGCAAGCAGGTGTCACTCTCCTTATGTCTGACAAATGCCTTCAAATAAAAACTAATTAGAAGGTAGTGTCCTTCCTTATCTCTTCTAATCAAGGGAACAATTAACCAAGAAGACATTACAACCCTGAACATATATGCATCCAATTTCATACAAAACATACCACTGGAGCTAAAGACACAGACTAACTCTAAGTCAGTTAATAACAGGTGATTTCAAAATCCCACTTTTATCAACAGACAGGTTAGCTAAATAAACAGAAAACATCAGAATTGAATGTCATTATACATTAAACATATCTACAGAATATTCTGTCCAAGCAGCAAAGAATGTACACTCTACTTAACAGCCCATGTAAAAGTTTCTAAAATGTATCACTCATAGCCGGGCGGTGGTGGTGCATGCCTTTAATCCCAGCACTCGGGAGGCAGAGGTAGGCGGTTCTCTGTGAGTTCGAGGCCAGCCTGGGCTACAGAGTGAGTTCAGGAAAGGCGCAAAGCTACACATAGAAACCCTGTCTCGAAAAGCCAAAATGAAAAAAAAAAAAAATAAAAAAAAATGTATCACCCAGCTTGGGACACAAATCTTAAAAAGTTTAGGAAAATTCCACATATCCTTTTGAACTGTAATGTAATAAAACTTAGACAGCAAAAGAATCTGTACACAGACTCATGGAGATTAAATGAAAATGAAACCACAGTCCAACAAAACCTCCAGGACACATTAAACACAGTTCTGCAAAGGAAAATTTATACCTCTAAGTGCCCACATTAAAACATCAGAACATGCCCAAGCTGGGAGGAGTGGCACATGCCTTTAGTCCAAGCACTCTGGAGACAGGTAGATTTCACCTGGTCTACATAGAAAGTTTTAGGTCAGCCAGGGCTATGTAGGGAGATCCTGTCTCACCCTCATTCCCTCCACCAACCCAAGAAAAGAAAAGAACAAGTAAATAACTTAATAATGTAACTCAAGAGTCTGGAAGAATAAGAAAAAAACCCCAAATCCAGTAGACAGGAAAAAATAACAAAAATCAGAGCAGAAATGAAATAGAATCAATGAAAAACAAAACAAAACAAAACAAAAAATCAAATCCAGGAGCTGGTCCTTTGAAAAGATGAAACAAGATTGACAGATCTTTGGTCCAATTAGCCAAAACAAACAAACAAACAAACAAAAATCCACTAAATCCCCCATTTAATTAACAGAATCAGAGATGAACAGGGAAATATTACAGCAGACACCAAAGAAACTGAGACTATTTTATGGACCTATATTCTATTAAGTTTGCAAACCTAAAAGAAACAGATTTCTAGATTCACCTGAACTACCAAAGTTAAACCAAAAGGAGATCATCAATTTAAACAACCCATTACAAAGATGGAGCTCAAAAGAGATTAAAAAGCCTTCAGTCTAAACAAAGCCCAGGCCCAGATGATTCACAGCAGACTCTACCAGACTTTCAAAGAACAGAATCAACTTGGAAACAGAAAGAGCATTCCCAAACTCCTTCTACAAAAACAGTATCACTCTGATACCCAAACCAAGTAAAGATACAACAACAACAAGACAATTACAGGCCAATATCCCTAATAAACAGACTCAAAATTACTAATAGGATACCTGGAAACAGTATATGGACATACATCAAAGTAATTATATACCATGACTAAGTTGGCTTTATGCCAGAGATGCTTCAGCATATAAGTCAATAAAGACAAAAATGAAACAAAATGAAAAACAAAACAAACAAAAAAAACTCACTTCATATGATTATCTCAATAGATGCAAAAAAACCAAAAAAGCCTGACTAAACCGAACATGCCTTCATGATATAAGTGCCAGAGACAGTAGAACTCAAGAGAACACACCTCAACTTAATAAAGGCTATTTATGACAAACCACACCCAGTGTCCTCCGAAATGGAGAAAAATCTGCAGCAATCCCACTAAAATGAGGAATAAGACAGTTGTCCATCCTTTCCACTCCTTTTCAATGCAGCGCCTGAAATACTAGCAGAAGCAATAAGGTAAGAGAAGCCAATTAAAGGGATACAAATAGGAAAAGAAGTCAAATTAACTCTACTTATAGATTATAACTTATACATAGACATTCCAAAAATTTTAGAAATGATCAACAATTTCAGTAAAGTGGCAGAATACAAAATCAACTTAAAAAACTATATACTAACAACAAACATAATGAGGAGATGATCTTGGAGACACTCTCATTCACAATAAAAAAAAAAAAAAAGAATAAACCTAATCAAGATGGTAAAGACCTCTACAACAAAAAGCTTTAAAGCTCTCAAAAAAGAGACACTAGAAAATGGACAGACTTGTCATGCTCATAGACTGGTACAATTAATATTGTGAAAAGGCTCTTTCTACCAAAAGCGTTTTTATAGATCCAATGGGTTTCTAATCAAAATCTCTACAACATTCTTCACAGAAATAGAGAAATATCATCCTAAAATTTATACAGAACAAAAGACCCAGATAGCTAAGCAATCCAGAACAAAAGGGACAATGCTAGGATTATTATTCCATATTTCAAGGTATTTTCCAGAACTATGGTGATAAAAGCAGCATGGTAATGCCACAAAGACAACATGGCGACCAACAGGACAAAAGGGAAGACCCAAGTGAGTACACAACAGTCATCTGATACTTGACAATGGTGAAAAATAAAAACAAACAACCAACCAACCAACCAACCAAAACCAAATCCCCAGCATCTTCAAAAAATGGTGCAGGGGAACTGGTGTCCACATGTAGAAGAATGCCTTTAGGCCCATCTATTACTAATCTGCAGAAAAATCAGCTCCGAATAGATCAAAGACCTCAGTGTGAAACCTGAAACACTGTTACCGCTAGATGAAAACAGGCAGCGCCCAAAGATACATGTGGAGGAAGGCTTTCTGAATAGGACTCATTTGCTCAGGCATTAAGGCTAACAATTGACAAATGGGACCTCAGGAAACTAGAAAGGCTTAGCACAACAAAGCAAACAGCCAAGGAAAGAAGCCCACAGAGCAGGAGAGAATTTTTGTCAACTACACATCTGAGAGAAGATTCATATCCAGAATATATAAAGAACTCAATGGCTCCAGAAAATAAACAACCCAGTCATAAGATGGGCTATGGATCTGAACAGAGTTCTCCAGAGAAGAAATTAAAATGGCTAAAAGAATCTCAAAACACGATCAACATCCTTAGCAATTAGAGGAATACAAGTTCAAATTAACTTGAGATTTCGTCTTACCCAGTCAGATTGGCTAAGATGGAGAAAACAACTGAATTCTTTGTGCGCAAGCCACCTTTGCCAGATAAGTGCAGCTACTCCACCTCATCAAAGAAGCGTTTCTTTACAGGCAGTGGAGACCACCACCGATATAATTAAAAAAAAAAAAAAGAAGAGGCTATCAACTTGAGAGTGTGTGTGTGGGGGGAATGGGAGAGGTAGGAAGGAATGATGTAATTCTCTTTAAATGAAAAACAAAAAATATTTGTGGTGCTGGAGAGATGGCTCAGCAGTCGAGAATGTGCATACAGCTCTAGCAGAGGTCCCTGAGTTTCCCAGCACCCATGTGGGGTGGCTCACAACTGACTGTAATGCCAGTTTAAGGGGGCTCTGACACCTCTGGTCTCCTCAGGCATCTGCAGTTATGTCCACGTATCATGCCCCACCTCCACACACACATAATTTAAAATAATAACAACAAAATCTTTTTAAAAAGAAAAGAGCAATGACTGACAAAAAATGCTGGCGGGGATGTGGGGAAAGGGGACCCCTCATTCACTCCTGATGGGATTGTAAACTGGTGCAGCTGATCTGTCAATCAGTGTGGAGAATTCTGACCTAGTTGTAAAGTCCGTGAACCAGAACAATGATTGAACTGGGAAGAAAGCCACGAAGGTGCAATAGTGGCATTTTCATCTTGGGGGTAACCAAAAGCTCTTTAAGTGAACTTCAAGTCCATCTCACGGGAAGGAATTCATGTCTGATACTGTAGAACTAGATCCACAGGAGGTGAGGCCACAGACCCTATCAGAGAACGCGCTACTAGTACTGCACGAAATTAGTACAGTTTCTAGCTGCATTCTGAATACTTATCAGTCTACCCAAAGATAAATGTAGCTCTCATTCCTCATCAAAGAAGCTTCTGTTTGCAACAGATGGAGACCGTTACAGAGATCCACAACTAGTCAGTGACCGGGTGTGGAAAGGTCATAAGAGCCAGAGGCCCAGGACGTCTGCTGTTAGTGGCTCCTACATCCTAAAAAGGGGAATGCACCCATGAACTCTTGTATGGTTGTCTGAACAAGACCATCCTGATGAAAACACCAGCTGACATGCTAACAGGGACAGGGGACATTCCATGTGGTCCCACACCTAGATGAAGAGTTAGAGGAGGTCACTGGCTGCTGAGAGTGGGGAGAACCAGTTTCCTCCATGGAGCAGCTCCCCTGAGGGTTGTCCAACCCCAAGTGGTAAGCCCTGGACAAACAAGCAAAGCCAAACAGACCCATTAGTTACATACACCCATGTGTGCATCTGTGTAACACACATTTACACATGCACAATAATAGCAATCCAAGAGGTCATGAATTTGGGAGGGAGAAACAGGAGGAGTGGGAGGGACAGGAGTAAAGGTGCTCCTTGCTCATGTAGGATGTTCTCAAAATAAAATAAACAAACAAACAAACAACCAACAAACAAGGCAAAGGAAATGAAAAGCGCATCCCTGACTTTTCCCAGCAAAGGAAGGAAACACGATTTACCGGGTTGGTAGAAATCGGGCGACAGCTCTCTGGCCACAGCTCTCGCGATATCACACTCCTGGCGGGCAGCCAGTGCAGCCTGGTCAGCAGCGTCAGCTTTTGCTCTGGCATGTGCGGTCCTACATGGGCATAAAGAGGCTGGTGAGTACAGAAAGCACGGGGTTAATTACCCATGGACAAGCCAACCTCCATCCAGGGAGAAAAACGTTAGTTGTGATCATGGCCCAACACCTGCAATAGCAACTGTTATTGTCACAATGCTCTGAGACCTCCATGACAGCCACAATATGGATGAAACTATCTGTGAATCACCACAGTCCTTCTTCCAGGGGAAAAGGAAATTGTGAGCAAGGTCTCTAGCGTTGGACACTGTGTCTGGCTGTCAGAACTCATTGGACCAACTCCTCTGCTGATTTTGTATCACACTCCCCCAACTCCAAAAAGCAGCCAACCATGGAGAGTAGGATTTGACCATACGAATCAGCTTAGTGTTCACTGACCAAACTCTATTGGTAAAATCAGGTAAGAATCTAAGGAAAGGCTGCCCAGTGGAAGAAATGAGCAGAATTGCTACCATCAGTGCTTGCTGATCCCATGTGCTGATGGCCTTGCTGTGGCCAATTTCAGGCCATCAGTATGATGCTATTAGATGTGTTACTGGGAAGAGACGCACACCACGGCTTCTTACCAGTATGCTAAGGAGGGCTAGTGAGGTGTCTACTTACCTGATTAATTTAAAATTGCTTTTTCTTTAAAATTTTCAGAAAGTTATCTGTGTGTGTATGTGTGGGCACCACTGAGAGTGTGAAGAGGTCAGAGGACAACTTGTGGGAATTGGTTCTCTCTCCAAAATGTGGGTTCTGAAGACTGAACTCAGATCCTGATGCTCACCAGCAAGTGCTCTTACCTGCTGAGCCACCTCACTGGCCCGCGTTTACTTGATTTTTTTTTTTCACATGGATTTTATATGAAACAGAAAGGACCCAGTGAAGCAGAGCAGGTAAGGATGGGATAGGTGTTGTGGTCTTCTAACCCCTCCCTGGTCTATCCTCAAACACTAAAGACCTCACCTTTAGAGGCGGGAACAAGTATTGGGCTTCCTGGGCTGACAGCTCAGTTGCTAATGTGCTTGCCCTGCTAACATGAAGACCTGCGTTCAATCCCCCCGAGATGCACATTAAAAAAGGAAAGAAAAGCCAGCTACAGTGGCCCACACTTGTGATCCTAGTGCTCGGGATGTGGAAACAAGCAGATCCCTGGGATTCACCTGGCGGCTAGCCGAGCCTCCCTGCCAAGTTCCAGTTCAGTGAGAGACCCTATCTCAAAAATGAGGTGTGCATGTGTGTGTGTGTGTGTGTGTGTGTGTGTGTGTGTGTGTGTGACCTGTGCATTTTCTTTGCCTGTTTTAGAGAGAGAGAGAGAGAGAGAGAGAGAGAGAGAGAGAGAGAGAGAGAGAGAGAGAGAGAGGCAGGGAGTGAGGATCTGGGAGGATTGGGGAGGAAAAACCATGATTAGAATACACTGCCTGAAAAAAATATTTTCAATTTAAAAAATGAGGTGTGCAGTGCCTGAGGAACAACAGAGGACCATCCTCTTGTCTCCATGTGTACAAGTACACTTGAACATACGTTTACCTGTATGCACAGACACGTGCGCGAACACACACAAGAACTGAGCCTGAGATAGTGAGATAGCCTAGCACCTGCTGCCAAGGCTGACAGCTGGAGTTTGATTACCCAAACCCACACGGAACAAGAGAACTACCTCCTGCAATTTGTGCTCTGACCTTCACGCATGGTGTGTTACACACACACACACAAAGAAAAAAAATTATGCTCCTTAAGGCTAGACCAAAGAGAATCTGGGGAATCACAGAGAGACAACTGGGTTGTTGTGTGTGTGTGTGTGTGTGTGTGTGTGTGTGTGTGTGTGTCCATCCATTTCCTGAATTCAAAAGACTTGTTCAGTTAGTGTATAAATGACGTGGATATCTACTCTTATGCCTTTGTAGACATCCTGTCATAGTTCATCAGCACGAGGCAGGACTATGGATAACTAGTATGAAAGTCTGAAAGCAATGCCCACACTAATCTCAGACAGCAGGGGAGGTGATCCAGGAAATGGCACTACAAGAGGCAGCTGGAGATGACCAGGAAACTGTTCCCAAGGCTAGACCACTAGAATTAAAATGGAAAAGCAGAATCTGACCTGAGGCCGGGGTACTAGCTAGCAAGACACCCCATTCTCAACTTTCTCCTGGACTCTTGTAGGCTCATCTCACTCCCATCTAGAACCTAGGTGGGTCTAGAGACTTGAATGTTTTGCAAAGACTAGGATCTTTTCCCTTCTATTCTTTGCTGTACCTGGCCCACAGTATTTACAGAGAGCCTACCTTATATATAAATGATGACTCTTTAGGAATAGCTGCGCTGCCACTTAATAACAAGTGAACTAAAGGATATATTGTAAGGAAAAAATATTTCAATAAAAGATTAGTGAACCACAGAACTATAGAAATGGTAAAGGCAACATGGCTGCCAAGGGTTCAGCAGGGAGGGGAAGAGGTAGAATAGAGCACATGTCTAGGGGGGAGAAACAACTCCATGTCACACTGGAGTGGATGGAACACATGCGTCAAAATTCGTAGAGTACACATCACTGGGGTGGGTCTAACATGAGCAATGGATTTTACATAACCAGGGTTGGGTGCTAAGGGGAACAATGATTTTAGCGCAAATGAATCAACATTCCTTCAGCAATTACATCAAATTTACCCAAGATGCCAGGGAAGGAAGCTGTGTGTGGGCCCAAGGTAGGGACAAGGTGTGTACGAGAACACTGCAGTCCGGTCAACTTAAAAACTGCTTCAAAAAAAATCAATTACAGGTATAACATTATACTGACTAAGCAGGTTGTATTTATATATTTAGGGAAACTATATGTATGTATGTATCTATCAGTCTGTTATCTATCCATCCATCCACCATCCACCCACCCATCCATCTACCCACTCACCCATCTCTCTTCCCTCCCTCTCTCTCTTCACACATACATATTTGTAACAACAAAGATAGAGGGAAATGATATAATTATAATTTCAAAAGCCAAAAATGTATTAAAAATGAATGGATAATCTTCCACGTATCCAAATAGTTTTTTCTGCATCATGTGGGATATTTCTGATTGCTTTTGTCTATGGAGCATTATAAATTTGAAGTGAAAATAAAACAAGAGTTTAAGAGAACATATTCCTAAGTACCTGGCTGTAGTGACCTTGTAAGACATCATCATCCTTGGCAATTTGAGGAGGCGGGTTGACTCTAATTCTATGCCCAAGAACCAGTAAGTACCCTCTGTTCACATTCTTTCAGCCTCTCAACTCCTTTCTTTCCTCCCCAGAATGACTTTCCACTTTATCTGCTATTCATAGCTAGAGCCTAATTATGTCTAGGTACCATAATTAATGAAGTTGTAGGAGTACAGCCATGCTGCCTTATAATGTGATTTCCTAGCTCTTCAATAAATCTACAAAACTAAACAATGTATTCTGATACAACTGCAACACATTTCTGTCAAGCCAAACAAATGGAAATACTATCTCTATCCCATACTATAATCCAGCTAACTGGAGAGTAGACAGTACAGCATCCCCTTCCTGTAAACAAATTATGGAAGCCCAGAGTCAGTAAAGCCTCATTCACCACTCTTGTATGTAACTTATTTTCTTACTTGCTCTTTTCTGACATCTAACCCAGCTATCAGGACTACTTAGAGTTGACCAGATGAGCAAGACCACATCCACCCCTGAATGCTTGAGAATTTCTGGTGGATCTGATCACAAGAAATGGAGAAAGGAATTTTCTCTGCATTATGCTACCACCTGCTTCATGGGGTCAAGGTCATTGGCATGGCTAGACTTTGGAGGTTGCCTGGGCTTATGTGTGAACTCATTTAAATCCCATGGCCAGTTCCAAACCTACAAATGGCTGGTCAGACCTGACATTGTTCTTGGGGTTGGGACTAAGAACACATAGTCTGAGGAAATCAGGGGAAGCCACATAGCATAGGTTCCTGATGCAGATGGTTGTATGGAAACTCACTCACTCACTCTCTCTTTCTCTCCAGCACCTCTTTCATTTAAGACATTTTTTTATATACAAGTCTTTGGCTCCTCACAGTTTCAATCTCCACACATCATTATCACATACTTTCTTGAATGATGTAATTATAAGTAACTGAGAAGTCATGCAGCATGAGGCAGCAGCCATTGACCTTCTAGGACTTTACTTTTGCAAGTATACTGTAATTTAACTTTAGGGTGAATGGGTTAAGCTACAAGAACAATTCTCAGATGCAGAGATCTGAAGCTGTCTTGGCTCCTCTCTTGGCCACAGCCACAAGTAGCCAGACCACCTGGATGCTAACCTGACTGTACTTAAACTAGTCACAAATTATTTTTTCTCATCAACAACTTGAGGTTCTTTTTCCCCTTTAATGACTGAAATATTTTATGAGTTCTTAAGTCACTTTATTCAGAAGAAAATCATCATTTCCTCAATTTTCTTGAATGTTTTAAAAATTTTTATTCATGTGAGGTTCCTTAAATTTAACAATGCTTTTACAAAAAATACATTCAACTGTACCCTAGACGGGTTCAGGGTACACCCCTCTAAGGAATGTACATGGCCCTTTGGACGTCTACCCCACCTCAGGCTTTCATGGACAGAGCTGATGAACATTTGGATCCAGAAGGCAGCAGGACTCTGTGAAAGGTAAAATCACATCTGACACTTACTGAGTTTGCTGCTTCTACATCTTACCCATTTCCTTCCCAACAATAAAGTGCTTTGAAAACACTCGGCTTTTGGTATTCTTTCAATTTTTTTTTTTTTTTTTTTTTTTTTGGTTTTTCGAGCAGGGTTTCTCTGTGTAGCTTTGCGCCTGTCCTGGAACTCACTTGGTAGCCCAGGCTGGCCTCGAACTCACAGAGATCCGCCTGGCTCTGCCTCCCGAGTGCTGGGATTAAAGGCGTGCACCACCACCGCCGGGCCCTTTCAATTTTATTATGTATTATGTCATGGTTATTTTATGAGCTGACTCTGAAAACTTGGTGGTAGAG